AAAAGATCCTTGTATGACTGTAAAGCTTTCCAGTGGGAGAGGACAGAAAATCAATTGCTATTGCAGAGATCTGTATCTTCCAAGCAGGAGAACTATGGTGGGAAGTTCAACCTCAGAGAAACTGTTTATAGAAATAGCAGACTTTTTTAAAAAAAAATCCAGCAGGCTTTGAATGCTTTCTCATGTTTCTGCATTTATAAACCAGTGATCTGATTTTCTGAATTTATATGTGACACAGCATGTAGTATTCCCTGGGACAGACAGGCAGTAAGGCACTTGGTGTTCTCTGTTGTTTTGCTGGACTAAGTGAGCAGAGCGTGGCTGGGTGACAGCACAGCTGGGAGACTTGACACCAAATCATGCCTCTAATGGTCCTTGGAGTAGTTCCCTTGTAAACACTTGAAATGGATCACAATTGGGAAACTTTGGGGATGCTGCACCTGTTAAAGCAATAGCAAACTAGCTTGAAGAAAGTAAGCTGACTCCAGCAGTATTCCATTTGCTCTAATTACTTTTTTTAAAAGCACTTTGAATTGGAAATGTGTGAAAATGAAGGCAGCTATAACTCAAAACCACAAAACCAAACCAAAAAATCTAGAACCCATAAACCCTTTAAACTGAATCTGTGGTTCAGCTCCTCAGTTCCAGTTAGCAGAGGCAGTGTAAGGTCCAGTTCTGCTTTGTGTAGCTCCATTTGCTTTGAGCCTTAGTCACAACATGGAAGTATGAGCTGACTGAAATTGAAGCCTGATGTAGCTTGAGCATTGCATGCAGCCAGGATTCCCTCTCTCATGCACCATCAGCTGCTGTGCTCTCCCTCCCGAGGTGACAGCAGTGTTTGTATTTCTGGCAGCAGTAATGATACTCTGCCTGCCCCAGGGCAGCACAAAGGCCAAGAGCAGCCCATGGTGCTGTACAGCACAGCCCATGGTAGCACTCCAGCACTCTGTGTGTATGACATCAGCAGTGCTGCTGGCAGAGGCTCATAATTCTCCTAGGTGAGAGCTTGAGTTTCCTACTGCTCTCGAGAGAATTGTTTTACACTTTCATAGCTGTTATACAATTGACTGCATAAATACAAACAACTAGAAAACAGGATTTGGTCTTATTTTAGATTGTGTTTATCGTGCAAACTTGAGTTGCTCTTGGTTCAGGTTTTAGGTCTCCACGAAAATTTACACTGTGATTCCTTTGTGCTGCAAATTTGAAAGATAGGATTTTGTTTTTGTCTGATCTGGCATTTGTCTGGAGTAAGGAAAAATATCCAGAAACCAGTGTACTGATCTCAAAGCAGCATAGGAATAGATTTAAAGGAACTCCATGGGAGATACTAATTCATGGATGAGCCACAAGTAAAAGGAACTGCAAGTGTTGTCTTCTTGTGGTGCTATAAAGATGTCTTAGGTGAAAAATGCTGGTATATTAAACCTGATAAATTGTTGATCTGAAGAGTAGGGATGAGAAGACCTGGTAAATTATTCAGTAAGTTTTCCTGATGAAGCAGTGTTTGTTTCTAAAACACTTCCATTTCCACTCTCCAACTCAGACTAATTTCGATGTCCACTACATCTTAATGGTAATTATTTGCAGCCTGCCACAGTCTCTTCAGGAAGAGAAAAGTACTTTTGTGGTCAAGGCACGAGAAATTTAATTTTTATTTCCTGGCTCTGCATTAGGCTTTGTGACTGGGCTCAGAAGCCTGCTTCTGAACAGGAAACATGAGGTTCCCTTGCCTTTTCTCACCTAGATTTCATATTTGTTTAGTCAGGACCTGACTCTTCCTTTTGGATTTAGTTGATTCTTTTTAATTTAAATTTAAATTCTATTTTTTTTTATTCATTTTGGTTCCTTTTGGAAATAAAGTGTATTAAGAAAACATCTTACTTTGCAGAAAAAAATTTAATGCTTGAGAGGCATCTTAAAGCAGATGATAATTCTCTGCTTGCAAAACAGACAACACTAGTTTTCTAAAAACACTAGGGAAAATAATTTTCTGTACTTTCATCTCAGATCTTGCCATTGGTTCTGCAGTTGAAAAGTGCAAGGCCTGTACCATTAGCTTAGAAGAGCTGACTGCTCACTGTCACTGTGAACATGATTCTCAGGCTGCAAAGACTTTTTGTGTGGCACAAATTCTGTGTTCACAATGCCAGATTTTCTCCCTGAGGTGCTTGTTTCTGTTTCTGCATGCTCGTTTTTTATGCTATTATTTGCTAAGAAACTACCAAGTTTTATGATCAGATTGTACAGAAAAGCCCATCTCCAGGTTTTTGGGTGCATAGGTTTAAGGTAAGGCTTGCACAGGAATAATTTCTTGAAGTAAAATAGGTGGCTGGACGTGGAAAGTCCTTCTCTTCTTCTAGTAAAAAAAACTGAATTAAGGCATATGTGCTCAAGTTGCATTGTTTTAAAACTGTATATATAAGGAGATCTGTCTGTTTAATGCTGAAGCTTAAAATTGCCAGATTAATGGTGCTGTGATCTTTCAGGTTGAGCTATGAATGTGTGTACAATAGTGTACTGTACTGTGGTATGCAGTAGCTAGAGTTGAACCAGCAATATGTTATACTGATGGTTTCAAAAGAGTTTATACATCTACTGTATATAGCTTTAGAAGAGAGATCTGTTGTTTTAAAAGAAGAAAGAGAACAATTTCTCAAGACATGTCTACAAATCAGCTACTTGTTTTATGGGGCTGGGTAACAATGGGTAAGTTGTGCCTCTGAGAAACATATCCATAATTCTTTGGCACAGAAAACCTGGAAAGAAACAAAAAGATAAAATTTGTTGGCTTACCTGAAAAGGCTTTTTTATTTTTTTTAACAAAAAGATAAAATTTGTTGGCTTACGTGAAAAGGTTTTTTTATTTTTTTTAATTCTCATAAATGAACAGAAGAAGTGAAATTGTCTCAGAACAGAAGTATTTGGTATCTACCCGTTATGGTACAGATTAACAAGGCATGTTGTTTGCAATATTTTCTTTAAAGTACTAAACAAAGAAGACCAACTAGGATACTCAGATTCCTCACAGGAAAAAGGACATGGAATGCTTTTAAAACAAAAACTGCCATTGGTTATGTGGGATCAGTTCTCCTGGGAAAACATTCCGTACTTCTCAAGATACTTTACCATGAAATGCAGTAGGTGAAAACCTTGCAGGAAAATGTGGCCAGTCAGGCCTCAGCAGATGGTATTCAAATTCTGCATCCAAAAAGCATGACATAAATGTGCTAACAGGAACACAGAAATGTACAGAACAGGAACCACAATAAAATACGTTCACATTTATAACCTGAGACATAATCTGATAGACCACGGAAGAACAAATGCTTTTGCGAGTTATTGAAGGAAAACATTATTAGCTTAAATTTCCACCCTGCTTTGAAGTCAGTACAGTTAGGCCAACACTGGGAAATCGTATAAATTACATTTTCAAATTTGATATAGAATATTAGCTTTCATTGTGAGACTCGATACATTCATTGCCTTCAGTTCTTATTGTCAACACTTGTGAGTGTGGGTTGGCTCTGGCACTGCCTGCTGTCAACAGCCCCACTTTGTTTCCTCCTGCAGTTTTCTATTTTCAGTCTGGGATGTCAGAAACACTTTATTGATTGTTCATTGGGAAACTTAATCTGGTTAAGTGGATACAGTCCTGTCGCAGAACAAGAGATAGTTGAAGATGAGAGTAGCTAAGCTGATGCTAGTAGAGAAAGATGTAGAAAAAGCAGAAGTAAAACCTGGCTGGTCAAATTGGTGCAAGTTTCTCTTAACTCTTATGGGAACACCAAAGATAAACTACCTAGGAAAATGCTGTTCTGTCCATTTCTTCACATTATAAAATAAGACAAGATGCCATTTAGAAGCTATGTGGACAATTTTCTGACCTCAATATTTGGGTGAAAGGGTGAAATCTTGGGGAGTGTGATATACAGGGAGTGATATGAGCTGCTGAGTCTTTCTGTCCTTGTAGTCTGCAGTCTTTAAAATAAATCCATTGTCCATCTAGGCAATGGTCTTTGTGGTGGAATCTCTTTTTGGGAAGAACATTTTCAAGAAATTTTCAAGAAATAAGGCATAAAGATGGATGCATAAGTGGTCTTTCTACAAGTACATTATTATGAGCCTCTAAAATGCATATAACTGAGAGTTATACATATAATAGCAGAAGGAAAAGGCCAAGCCACACTAAGTCAGGTAGTGTATATGATTATTAAAATGTATTCAGATAGGATCTAATCTAGTGCCCTTTGTAGTCTTATAGTTGGTTCTTAGACATGAAGGTTCACCAAATGCAGTCTGTTTTGTAAAGAGCTGTCAGGGATTTTTGGTGTTTTTAAAATGACTCTGTCAACGCAGTAACTGTAGATTTTTGCATGGTGTGTTTCATGAAAACTGAACCAGAAACTTTATCCTTTTCAATTGCTTACGTGAACAGAATAGGCTCTGCAGCACTGAGTAGTGAGCTCTGGGTGTGCAGGCTCCCTGCAACTCCTTCACACAGTGGGGGCAGAAATCTGGATTTTTTGCAGGTGTTCTGATGAAGTCTCTTTATGCTAAACACTCAACATTCCCTGTGCATGAAGCATTGCTAGTTACATAATACCACCAGTTACTGGGTTTGCTCCATCTCTTTTTCCTTGCTTTTCACTCATCCCTTGTTGAGTGAAGCAAGAAAATACAGCAATTAAAAAGGGATCATAATACTGAAATTCTGGGAAATTCATGTCAGAATTAATATTTCCTTAATTATACATAAAGACAGCTAGTCTTTAAAGGTTGTGTGATCTATTGCATACAAACCTTTTTTTTTCCCTCCCTAGCATGGTAGATTGGTCAAATCCGAAGATTTCATGTAACCTCTGAGTAATGTTTTATTCTGGATTGTAAATTGTAAGCTTAATGTTAATAAATTGTAGATTTCTCATGTCTTCATCTATATTTATGTAAGAATTTGAGCCAGTATTTATATTTTGCTTTGTCCTTGGTGGCTGTTGCAGGTAATGGCAAACGTGTGCAGTGGCTGCGTGGGAAGGATGGTGAGGTCTGGGTCTGGGTGATGGGAGAAGCCCCAGGGGACAAGCCATATGAACAGATCTCAGAGGAGCTCATAGCAGAGCGAGCCAGGCAGCAAGCACAAAAGGAGGCAGAAGAACTATGGTGAGGATTTAAGAATCTGAATTCAGGGTCCACTTGGCATAATGGGAGACATGACCTTTAGAAAGGTGGCAGGTAATGCTGGGTAAAACTGGTAAGTATGCTTTGTGAATGTTTGCTTTCACTTGTTTTAGTAATTTTTTTCAGAATGAGAAAAATGTAGTTTTATTTTTTATTGGATACTGAAAACCACCCCCCTCTTTCACAACAAAATGGTTTAGCAAAATTTTTTTCTTTTGGGGAATTTTGCTCAACCATTGACCAGCTTGTAGATAAAGAAGAATGAAACAATCTGGTTTTAAGACGATTAAATTAACTATGTTTTTTGTATCACAAATCTGTGCTCACAATGGGGATTTGATGCATAAAATTCTTTTTGAAACTCATTTTATTTGCATTTTGCTTGTATTAATTCTTATTTCAGCAATTCAGAAACTGATTATACAAAGTGCCGTGCTGGTGTTTCCAGCAGGATCTTTTCCAGTTTGAGGAGAGATTCAAAACTCTTTTGATGCTTGATATTGTTAGGAAGTAGGCCACCTGCCTCTTGCACTTCCCTTTGTAGTGCAACAGTGAAAAGTGACAGTTTAAATGTCAGGTTATTCTATATTATCCCTTTTCATATTAGATTCTTCTTGCTTATAGTGATTGCATATTTAAGCAGGGATTAAAAGCTTCAGCCTGTGCTCTGCATTCCTTTTACATTGTCAGTACTAATAAACAGTCTTGGGTAAGAATTTGGCAGACATTTGCATTGATATTTGAAAGACAATGAATTCCCAATCATGCTTTGCTACACTGACAGAAAAATGTATTTTTTCAGCCAGGGAAAGGAAAATATAAGGTATGACTCAGCCATCCAAGAAGTACTTTTCTAATTTAGAATATGCTATTCTAATTAGTAATTTATCAAAAATTGTAAATCATCTGCTTTCTGGATAGTTTCCTCAAATCTAATTTGTGGTAGGTCTCTTGTTAAATATATTTGAATTTTTTCCTTTCATATTTCCAGGAAGTCTTATGCTAACTCTTTGCTGCAACCAGTGAGTAAGTATTGATCCTCAATTTCAAAATAAATAATTGGTGTTTTAAATGATTTTTATTTTCAAATCCTTTCCTGAAGGAGACAAAAGGAAGCTGAAATTACAAAGAAATTCCGGGATGCTATGGCTCAAGAAAAAGCCAGGATAGTGGCAGAAAAATGGAAAATAGAAATGGAGGACCGGAAAGCAGCCAAATTGGAGGAGGAAAAAATTCAGGAGGAACTGAAGGTTTGCATAGAGTAATTTAGTGGTTTTTTTTAAATAGTGCTTTAATATAGATTCAAAGTTCTTGTCACCTTCAGTGCATGTTTATTAATAAGCTTTAAAATCCGGAGCTGTAATTTTTCATTCTGGAATATACAGAGATCTACAAGTTGTTCACCAGAACAGCTGGGTGAATGATGAGAAAAAATTACAGGTCTCATTCAGAAGTGCCAGGACAATCAAACTGGTTATTCAGCTCACACATTACCAGAATTGTTCAGTCAGCTGTGCTGGGTGAATCATACTGGGGGGGAAAAAATGCATGATTGTGAAATGTCTCCTTTTATGTTAGTTTGCTGGAACATATTCTGTGTATATTGGATGAGTTGTTCACATATTGAACTTGAAAGCTGTGTTACTACTTTCTTTAAAATAATAAGGGATGAATCCTTCTCCTACACAACATATGGGAAAGGTTCAGCTGCCTTTCCTGGGAGAAGTTCATTTGCCTGATTTTTATTGACTTCATAATGAATTTTCTATGAGCTTTGTTACAGTATTTTAATGTTTGTTTGAAGTAATTTTTTTGTACATTTTCTTGTTGAAAATAGCAATTTAAAAACTAAACAGGAAAAGACAGCCTCTGTCTACCCTTTTCATATTGTTTGATAAAAGCTTGTTTAAAACTGAGAAAACAAAATATAATTGTTTCAGCATGCAGAGAAATGATCACAGTCCTCTGAGTCTGGGATGTGCACTCTGGTGCTGCACACAATCAGTTAGGATGGGTTTCCATGGAAAAAGCCTGTAACAAAATATATCTCCTTGGAGATCTGCATCCAGTAACTTCCATCTACATGCCTCTCCCCTGCTGACTGCTTGCTATGTCTCTTTCCTTTCCTGGCACAGTGATTGAAGGCATGGAAAAGGTGGATAGACTTCCTCCTTATCCCTCTGAGATGGGAGGAATGCTGAAAAACTCAACATTAAATTTATGGGGTTTGATTGCAAACTAGAGTCAGCGAGTTACCTGTCACTGTAAACTGTAGGCCTGGGATTTGAGAGTGGTTGTGGAACACAAAGCCAGGGCTGTTCCTGTAGTCACCTCTGCACAGAGTTGCTGATTTACTTTTGCACAATTAATTTGAATTCACAGGACACAATGGGGCCATTGAAATTTGATGCCAGTGAGTAATGAAACTATACCTTTCAAGTGCTTTATTAATGTATGAATAATGAGCAGAGCATCTCATTAAACACTCTTTTCTCTGCTCTCTGGTAAGCAAAGCCCTCTTGAATAAAGAGTGATACGGTGTTCACTTATATCTCAGTGGCTGATTTACAGGGTACTCAATGGGGTAAATGTCCACAAGCTCACTATAACTGTTCTGTTTCAAAGAGACTTTTTCAAAATGCAGAGTGAGCAATTTCTGAGACTTTTAGTGGCCAGTATTCATAATTTTCTATGAAGGAAAACTAGTCATTCAGTTGTTGATACAATTAAAGGAATGGCACCAAATTCTGCTGATTTTTGTACTGATGGAAAGGTAATGTCACAGTGCTCTGTGTTCCCACTGTTTCTCAGGACACGATCAGGTGTCTTCCATCCAGCTGTGTGCCTGGTGGAAGCAAGAATTTTACTGTTGTAAGTAGGATGAGAACATGGTTCAGTTTCTACTTTGAATTTCAAATACTAGCCTTTGGCCAGGATTTCTTTCGCCCTGTTCACTAAGTTGCCAACATATTTATTTCATCAAAGAAACAGAAACCGTTTCTTCTCCTGTGGTTTCCTTTAAATCAAGCATTTGAAGACAATATTTGCAAAAATTCAAATAAATGGACTAAAATTTTTAAAACAAGACCTAGGAGATATGAACTCTTTGGCTTAAAAAACTAGTTTGGAAACAAGATATGATGCAATGGGGTTTTATAAAAAGCCTTATTATTGAGTGTGCTCCTGACATTTCCTGTAATAATACAACAGCATCATAGTCTAATTTCACTTTCAGCCCTGGCTCTTCAGTTAGGTCTATAGTTTGAGATCTGTTAGGAGTGACTCGGACTGACATAGGGTTCCACCAGCAGAGATGAAAATGCAGGATAGGTTCCTGATACTTTAGCACTACTCCTTTGCTACTCAGAAAAAGCAGCTTATCTGTTACTTGGTCTTGAAAAAGCAGATCTTGTACATTGTGCTGTAGAGCTACTTCAAAACAGTAAAGGCATTTCAAAGACAGGTGAATCTCACAGGCTAATATGGGGGAGTTATTAACTTTTCTGTCCACTGGCTTATTTAAGCTCACTTGGCTTTCCTTCTTTCCATTTTATTCCCTTTAAAACTACTCTGGTGCAGTGGAAGAAGTACATGAAATATTTACAAGCTAAATGAGTGGATAGGCACCTAGACAGGAAAAGAAAGTTATGTTTCTGGCATCCACCTCCAGCTACAAAGAATGAATAGAACTTAGATAATGGGAAAAAGATGAATTAATGAATCTACTCATGTATGACTGAAGCAGTTGAAATAGTGAAAAAATGGGTGTGGAATGAGATGCAAATCAGTTAGCAAGCCCACATTAACAGGTTCAAAATATTTAATGCATTGTTAATCATCCTTCTGTGATGATGACCAGACTCTGTTTAAAGAGGTCTCCAAACTGCAGTATGGAAAGTTCAGTCTCAGCTAATGCTTCATCCTCTTGAAGCATTTTGACTTGAGAAATTGAAACTCTGTCCTTTCTGCTGACGTGTTTAATTTCTAATCATATTGTATCACAAACACTTCTTTTTAAAATGCTCTAAAATTCCTCTTGACCTACCATGGGACTTTAGGGCTGTCTGCACTAGATAAATGATATCTAACACATCAAAGTGAATGATGATCCCTATTTCCTTTTCCAACACTATTGAAAAGTATTGCTTTCCTTGGTGTTTCTTAAGCAGAAATGCCTTTAATTTATGATGGTAGAATATAAACGTTGACTCCTCTATTTTTGTAGTTTAAGGACAGCTTTTCTGTTATGTGCCTATTGCAAAGGACAAATAAGAGAGCCAATTACCATCATTAATCTTTTTGCTAGTTCACAAAGGCTGTGAGATCATAGGCATAATTTTATACTGTTGTCAGTAGCCTTCATTAAGAGCCTTGGACAACATGCAGAGCTAAGGCAAATTAAAAGTGTGAGTGTCAGCCAGCCAGAGGCAGGTGATATCCTTCAGCTACCTTTGCAAATAAAAGAAGTGATGTCTCAGCTCACTCTTCAAGTGGTCTATATAAAGCAAGAGAATATTAATAGTAAAATATTGTCTTTATGACAACATCAGATACCTGCCAAATTTAATAATATATGCGCAGGTGACAGTAAAGCTAAATTGTTTCTTCAAAATTCCCTGGGAGATGAAATGTATCCCATCAAAGAAGACAGGTTGAGAATCAACCTTCAGAGAAGAACAGAATAATTACTGCTTCAGTTCAGTTCAGGAAATCCCTAATTAAACTTATGCTTAACAGAAAGAACACACCTCAGACCTGTTGACTTGGATGGGCTTTCAACACATGTCTGAGTGCTTTACTGTGCCCTGGGGTGCTGTGGACCTGATTCCTTAGACAGTTGCTGCCAGGTGCAGAGTTTAGGAATACAGTGAAATGTCACCATCACCACTTGCAGTACCGTGGGCTTCTTATGATATAGCAGTGAGAATTCTGTCCTTGATATGAAAGAACCTCTTCTCTCCAAGTAAACGTCAAGCACTTGAGTAGGACTGTTATCTTTAAGTGCAAATAAGCTTTGAGTTCAGCTCTGCTT